TGAGGTCAATGTCATCTCTCACCTGGATTACTGTGACAGCTTCCCAACCAGTGTCTGGTTCTCTGCTTCTCTCTCTACAGGCTGCTCTTTTCACACATGGTAGATGCTATCACCCCCCAGCCCCACGCCTCCTCTCCGCCCATGGCTTCCCAAGGCCTGTAGAGGGAAGTCTAACCCCTTAACATATCCCACAAGTGCCTCCTTCATGTGGCCTTGCCTCCTCTAATCTCATCTTGTACCCCCTTCTCACTCACCAGTCCTGGATACACCTTACTCTAGGGCTGTCCACTCCCCTCGTGAACTTGTTTGTCCTGTTGGTACATTTGTTCTCAGATATTGGTGTGACTGACTACTTCATAACACTCAGGGCTCGCCTCAAACGCATTTCCACTCAAATGTAACCTCAGCAAGAGGCCTTTTTAACTAAGAAGCCCGGCCCCCAATCAAACTCTACCACACCATCCTGTCTTACTGCCTTTGTAGTGTTTCTTACTCCTAAATTTATCATTCACATATGATGCACGGGTCACTTTATTTACACATTCATTGACGGCCTTCCTGCATTAGAAATGAGCTCAATCAGAACAGGGCCCTTGCTTGTCTCATTCTGTTTGGATGCGCAGAGCCTGGTGGGTAGTTGAATGAATGAATGAAGTCATGGTGGCTAACCCAAGTGTCCCAAAGGAAAAAGAGATCTTGAAAAAAAATGTTAATCACCCAGCCCTGGTCGTTAGGGAGAAAGACAAGGAGCAACAAAGAGCATAGAAACGTGACCATCAGTCACTTGTGTGGTCTGACTTTGATGACAATTACCCCCCATTTAGCCCAGGGTCCAGCCACATCCTCCAGCCAACTAACTCATTTAAGGAGGAAATAATGATCAAGAAAATTTCATATCACTGAAAGCAGTTGGGAGTGTGTGTGTGTGGGGCGGGGGGGAGGTGCCTTATCAGCTCCTATATTATCACCTACCTTCCTTTTGCTCAGTTACAAAGAGCTCATTGTAGCTGGGACCTTCTGATAACATGGGATCCTTTCTTAATTACTATATATTCTATTTCAGGTTCAGCAGAAAAGAAAATTAAAAAGCTCCATTTCACTCCAGGTTCAAATGAGTCAATCTTTCAATCAATCAAGTATTAATTAAGCTATACCAGGAAATACAGGGGAGGTAGAAGACATCCTCTCTCTACTCAAAGATGATACCAGAGAAATAATTAGAAAATAATTTAAGAACAATGAAAAGAGTTTAAAAAGGGTTTTATTTGGGCTTTCTCTGGCTTTCTGTTAGGGAATGCCTGGAATCTCTAGCCACTTTATTCTCCTTTGCTTTTCTCTTCTCTCTTTCCTTCTTTTTCTCTCTTCTCATCACTAATTACACTGTCTCTGAAGGGTCCATGCTGTAGACTCATAATTAGTCTTTTTCAGTCACCCCTGAGGATTAAACACTAGCAGTCCTGTCTCTCTGATTCTCTGAAAATTCCAACTGTGCTAAATGGATTGAATATCATATCTCCAGCCTGTTAGCAAGTCAACAAATTCCTACAGATTCATGTCCTTGAGATCATAAGGGAATTTTCTGATGTCTCTTCCCCTAAACTAGAAAATGTACAGAAAAGGATTTTGCCCTCCTCTGTGAGGACTCCACTGGTGTGGAGTCTGGGCAGCATTCACTTAAGTGCTTTGAACTTAGTGTTTTCTTCTGTAAACAGAGATATTAGCATGTTTCTCAGAGGGTTAGACATTTGTATCCACTGTGCTACATCATCTTTAAAAAAATTTTTTTTTAATGTTTATTTCTGAGAGAGAGAGAGAGACAGCATGAGCAGGGGAAGGTCAGAGAGAGAGGGAGACACAGAATCTGAAATAGGCTCCAGTCTCTGAGCTGTCAGCACAGAGCCCAACACGGGGCTAGAACCCACGAACCGTGAGATCATGACCTGAGCTGAAGTCATACACTTAACCGAATGAGCCACCCAGGCGTCTCTGTGCTACATCATCTTACCTTCCATACCGAGCACAGTGCCTGGTAGACAGTGAGCTGGCAATAAGCATTTGTGGAATGGATGAATGAGTGAATGAGTGAATGAATGAATTGCTGGGAGCAATAAGCGTGTAGCCTAAGTGTGTGTGTGCAAAGCGTATAGCCCTAAGTACCCTTCACACAGCAGGTACCTTAAATTGCCTTGAGAACTATGCAGCCTTGTATTTATTATACGATTCATATTGTGTGAAATGTGAAAAACATCTATGTGTTAAAGACTTATTTTGGGGGTTGGGTGGCTCAGTTGGTTAAGTGTCTGACTTTGGCTCAGGTCACGATCTCATGGTTCATGGAGTTGGGCTCTGTGTGGACAGCTAGAAGCCTGGAGCCTGCTTCTGATTCTTTCTCTCTCTCTCTACCCCCTCCCCCTCCGCCCAAATATAAATAAGCATTAAAGAAAATTTTTAAAAAAAGACCAACCAGAGGTTGGTCAATTGTTCCCTGAATGGGTTTAAGAAGCGAGTCAGCCAGCTCAGGGCAGACACCTTCGCCTTCCTTGTGCTTTCTTGAGAACTTAATTTCCATTCATTTCCAGCTGCTTCTCCTGCTTTCAGCCCTTCTGACCTCCTGGATTTAGTTTCGTAGTGCCCTGTTTTGTCTGTCACTATCAACTTTCGCCTCCTCATTCAGCTAGAATGCTCTCTTGTTTTTCTTTGGCCTCTTTTGACATAGATACTTCAGGAGGCCACCGCCGCCAAACAGAGGGCTGGCAAAATGTCTTATCAGCTTTCCCAGAAACAAGGGATGATCTGTTGTATCGAAAGGTCGCTGTTTGTTATATTCTAAGTGCCGTGACTCAAGAGGTGGGTCTTTTCATCCCAGGGACACAGATGAAAAAACTGAGTCTATCAGAGATTAAGTAATTTGCCCAAGGCCACAGAGCTACTCAAGTCAGAAGAGGTTCTGGTCCTATCTGAGTGTGAGAGGATCCTGCATGTGACCACAAGGCTATATAGCTGCCATCCTCGGGTGACGACTTCCACCTCTGGACCTTCCCTTCTCTGCCGATGGGGTGTTCATTGAATCAGTCATCCATCAAACGTTTGAAAGCCTGCCATGTGTGTCATACCCTATGGGTACACTCTTGAATGATTAAGATGTCTTCTGGGCCTTTAGGGAGCTCACATTTTAATAGGACCCAAAATGCAAGCAAAGAAATACAATGCGATATCACAAATGACGTTGGGTACCCCAAAGACATAAAACTGTTTTGAGTGCTCACTGGCAGTCCAAGAGCTCTATCCAACCCATAGGCACTTTCATTATGATTTTATTTTTTCCCTCCTCTAACTTCACGTACAATTACCAATTTTTAGTTAGTCCCCAGATTTGGCCACCAACCTATCTTCCTGCATAGCCACAGTCTGCCAGGGCTTTAGAAGGCCCTGTGTGCCCTCCTTACCCCCATCCCACAGCCTTTCCACCCTGCCAGCCTCATCCAGTTATGTCACCGCATTAAAGCCTGCAGTCCCCCAACTACAAACTGCCTCTGGAGTAGGGACTACATTCCCTAGTCTTGCACAGTAGTCTGCGTAGGGGAGAGTGAAGCAGGGGGCTTAAAAAGGAGAGGTGAGGACAAAAGGCAAAAGGCTAGCTGCCCTTTCCAGCCGAAACCTCCATTTTGATCCACAGATCCTGGTCTTTGGCTAATCAGACAAATAATAAGGACGAGAGGTGTCTACAAGAGGAATTAATGCATCTCAAAATGCCCCAGCACAATACAAAAGGCTGGCAGAGGGGTGCAGTTGACAGAGCATTAAGCTGGGCGCCAGAGGACCCAGTTCTAGTCCCAGTTCAGTTGTCTTCCAACCCTCTGACCTTGAATGAATCACTCAAGCTTTCTGAGCCCTCTCCTCATCTGAGAAATGAGGCCAGGAGCTGTCCCAGATACCTCTCAAGATTGTCATGGAGAACAGCCAGGCATGTGAAAGAACACTGAGAAGGAAGAATTGCAATTGCAATGCAAGGATTAGACTGGAAAGCTGAATTAAAGCTCAAATGAGAACCCTGAGCTTCTCTTTCTGAGGCAGCTCTCCACCCTCCCAACCCTGGCCCCATCCGTCGTGAATCCATCATTAGGAGCTATGTTTCCAATTTGGAGAATTTATGGGCATTACGCACTGACACCACCCACATTCGTGTTCGCTGCCTGAATATATCTGATCTGACCACATCGTGGTATTAGTGCTAATAAAACCTGTAGCCATGGTTACTGTGAAGTACCTGGCTTACTCAGCTCCCATTTTCATTTGCCAAAACTATTTGGTACAGGATTTTGGAGCCAATCTTTGTGGGTGTGGTAAAGCGCCTAGGTACATTTTTATTTTTGGAAAGTGTGAGCTTGGGGTCTGAGGTCATCTTCAAGTTCAGGGCCATTGAGGAGGGGCAGTGCCTTCTCTGTTCCCCAAATATAGGGAGCACTTTGTGGCTGACCCCAGCAACTGACGCTTAAGTCCTCTAACGTCATGTCCTCTCTGAGGGAGAGAGTGTTTCTTGAAAAAAGAAGAAGACAATCGAGCACTTGTGTGAACTGGGGTCTCCTACACAGGTAGTAATTTAAAAAGAGGCCCAAAAGTTCCGTAATTCTCTTTAATATTAGAGAACGTAGTGTTCTCACATCTTGCAGCCATACCTGCATGAAGGGCTGATTCAGTTTTCTCGGTGGTGGTGCAAGAGAAGTTTATAGACTGGAATCGTTGAAAACTAATGGGGTGGCAAATATACACAGTGATGCAACTCGAAAGCAGTACGGAGATGATTTTATTTTCCTTTCCATTTTCTCCTTTCATTTGATGTTAACAAAAGTTCAGGGCAATTAAAAGCCCAAAGCTACCTTACCATAATATTAAGGCTGAAAGCATAAAGGCCGAATCATAGAGGGAGTGAGCAGAAATACTCTCATTCCAATCATAACTCACCCCTGTGGAATGCACACTGTGGAATATTTCAGACTCACCAGGCTTCAGCCCCAGGCTCCTGCCCGCAGGGCGGGGTACACAGAGGCACTAATACTCCTGGATGGCGGACCTTCCTGTCTGCAGGGCTTAAATCTGCATCCTTAATGTCACGGGAGGATTTAAAAAAAAAAAAATTTTTTTTTTACAGTTTTGCTAAATAATTGTTGGTGAATGCAGAGGACATACGAATTTGCTCACATATTTATGGAGCACACACTCAGGCAAGTGACACCCTCTTCCTTTGATCCAGATGACATTTTCCAAGCCTCATCAAATGCGGCTTGGGGGCCTCTGTGCAAATAGATTGTTACTCCTAAACTGCTACAGAGAAATTCTGGAATCGACAACGGCTTCACCCCACATCTAATCCTCTCCATTTGCCTGCCCTCGTCCCCGAACGTCTTCCTCCCCGTCCCTGAAATGCCCTCCTCAAGGGAGGTTACAGGTGCTACAAACAAGTCATTTGAAAGTATGGATTTAAGACACTGCTTAAGCTGATATTGTGGGGGGAGGGGCGAGGTGGGGGAGCCAGGAGACACCACATGTGTACGCGCATGCGCACGCACATGCACAGACACACCCTTCCCTTGACTCCGCCCCCTCACTCCTCCACATCTGCCACCTCTGTTCCATCCTCGCCTGGGGACCTCAGAGCTCTATGGAAACGCGCTGGAAAGCACAGGGGGTCTCCCGGAGTGGAGGACTGGTGGGAGAGGCCGCAGAACTCACCATGTCTCTGAGCTTTCCACCTGTGGCCTCAGGGCTGGGCGGCTTGCAGGCTCCGTACCAGCTTTTAGGCTTCATCTCCCATAAGCTTCCCGGAATACATTTAAAAAAAAATAAAAAGAAAAAGCAGACCAACTCTCAGAGTGTCAGGGTCTTGAAGAAATAGGTCATTGCGTGGAAACACTGATAGAGCAAAACGATCTGAGTGTTTGGCCATGCCTCCGCTGGTGAGGAAGGAGGAGAGACCCCCCCGCCCCCCGCCCTCCATGGGAGCCGGCTCAGAGCAGCCCGAGAGGGTCCTCACAGGAGAGGCAGTCCTGTGGGGCTCCAGTCCTGGCTTTGACTTTTAGCTGGTTTTATTTGTTTATGCTCCTCTAGGTTTGCCTATGAGCTGAATTCTTGGCAGAAAGACAAGACTGAGAGCCTTGAGCTTAGGGGAAGCTCATAGGTTGTGGTATGAGAAGTCAGCTCAAATTCTCGCTTGTGGCTTAGTGTGTGCATCCTTGGGAAGGTCATTCAGTTGTTTGGGGCCTCAGTTTCTTCATCTCTAAAATGGGAGCAAAATCTGGACAAATACTTGAGCAAGTGATAATATGGGTTGTCTCTATGGAAGAACATTGGGGGCAGAGCGGGAGACTGGCTTTTCTCTCATTCTTTTTGTACTATTCTGAAGGCTGGGTCACATGCGCATACTTTCTGAAGGAAACACTAACTAGCAGCGGATTCCTGCCTCGCAGAGTCCTTAGGTCAAAGCAGACAATGCATGTGAGCATGTCCCCGGGCTCTTAGGAACTGTACAAATATTTAGAGTCACAATTGCTATCATTCCGGGCTGATTTGGGACACGGCAAAAATGTCACACCCCAATTCTTCCAGGTAGTGAGTGGCCTGAATTTCCTGGGAAATTTGCTCCCATGCTGGGAAGTTTTCCTGCATCCAACCCAGAATGGATGGATGGCTACCACCCCCACCCCAAACCTCCCCGGGGGAAGGGGGCTCTTTCACCTGGCTGGGCAGTGGTGCTGGGAGACCTGGGTCCTCCGTGTGCCCAGATGACCCCTGGTGTTTCAGGGCTAGCGGAGCATGTCCACCCTGCTGAGCAAGTTCTGACAGGCACATTCCATCCCTTGCCAGGAGGCAGTGGGGCCTGGCTGCCTGGTGGGAGCTGAGGGAGTGGTACCTGCCTCAGTGACTGCCCTCTGACTGACCCCTGGCAGGGAGCGGGGGTGGGGAGGTTTTTACCGAGTGTGTGCCAGCCTCCCTCAGGTTGTTTCCTGGGTTGCCATAATAAAAACCATGCTGTGAGCATACTGCTCTTTGTATATGAAGAAGCTAGCAGAACTAACAACGATTTCCATCTACAAAATCTGCCAGTTGAATTCCTTTTCCTGAAGTTGCATGTGGACTTCAAGAAATGCTAGTTAAGGAACGACTGGGGGATCAGCTCGGTGCTGAGGGGGAGCCCAGAAGTGTAAGAAGGTTCCTATCCTGGAGAGTTAATAGAACGCTGAGGTCTGTTAAGTTCTGCCAGGCAACAGTGCGGCTCCCTGCCCACCCCCACCCCCTCCCCAGACCACCGGTGCCTCCCTTCTAAGACGGGAAGGTAATAATCACACCAACTTCATCACCCTCCAGCCTTGCTGTGAAAGTCAAACAACAATATCCCGGAGAGTGCTTTCTAAACTGAAAATCCCCTTCCAAATATAATTTTCAAAAATAATAATGGCAGGTAGAGGCTTAATAAATATCAGAAAATGCCTAAGTGCTCACATGGATCGGGAAGGGGAGGAATCAATGTTGCCTTGGGACTTTGCAGGGCGGAGCCCGAGGTTGAGCTCTGTGGATGGTTGGGTGGGAAAAGGGGAGCTGAGGTGAGCTGGAGGAGATGGAAAGCCAGGGTGTAGACCACAGACCAGCACATGTGGAGTTTGGGCCTGGGGTGGCGGTGAAGAAAATTTTCTAGGGAGAGTGAGGACTGAGGTGATACAGGCAGGGCTGGTGAGATTACGAAAGGTTCAGAAGGTCCAACATTGGTTTGGTGTAACAGGTGTCAGCGAGGTCCTGAAAGCTGGCGAATAGAGGAGACACAGCACCATCACTGTTTCAGAGGCCACATACTTTTAACCTGACCCCTCTTGTAAATCAGAGTGTGCCTTGCCCTGAGCTTTGGGTTATGCAGCAGCAAGCCCCCACCCCTGGGCTTGGGGCACGCTGCCCTAACCAGCCAGGCTCAGGAATCACAAACATTACGATTAAAAAAAAAAAAGTTTTATTAATAATGCATTGCCTTCTTGCACGAAATCTGATGATGAACCAAAATGAAATATCACCAAACCAATTGGAAAGAAATGACTATTTATCTCGAGATCCTTTGGGAATGCGGCCGGAGGCTAAAAACCCTGACACACTCACTTCTCCAGGCTTAACAGATGCCCTGATGGGCTTGTGTCTACTTATGACCGGGGGAAGTCCGATCAAAGACCTTGTTCTCGTAACACATGTTAATTGTTTAAGGGCTTCTGCAAACATTTCTTTACTCCATCTACAGTAATGTGAGGAAGGGAGGAATTTCTCGCCCTATTTCACAGATGAATAAAGGAGCAGAAATGTGTTCAAAATTTGTTTCAATTTTTTTATGTCTTTTATTTTATTTTGAGAGACAGGGACAGCGAGCGAGTGGGGGAGGGGCAGAGAGAGGGGGAGACACAGAATTTGAAGCAGGCTCCAGGCTCTGAGTTGTCAGCACAGAGCCTGATGTGGGGCTCGAACCCACAGACTGTGAGATCATGACCTGAGCCAAAGTTGGACACTTAACCGACTGAGCCATCCAGGCGCCCCCAAAATTTGTTTCAAATGGCGAAGCTGGTGGAGCATCTGGGTAGTTCAGTTGGTTAAGTGTTTGGCTCTTGATTTCAGCTCAGATCATGATCTCACAGTTTTGTAAGTTCGAGCCTCAGGTTGGGCTCTGTGCTGACCCTGCAGAGACTGCTTGAGATTCTCTCTCTCTCTCTCTCTCTCTCTCTCTTCTCCTTCCAGTGTGGACTCTATGTCTCTCTCAAAATAAATAAATAAACTTAAAAAAAATAAAATTGCAAAGCTGGTTAGTGGCCAAGGGCAGAGAGGGTTCTAGTCGTCTGGGTCCCCAGGGTGATGTTGTCTTCACTATATTAACTTCAACAAGAGAGGAGTCAATAATGGCAATTCGTCACTTCTGCAGTTTACACTCTCACACTCCCTGACATCTGTGGTCCCTCTCTTACTCTGGGGCCTCTACAAGCTTCTCTCTCTGGAACCTCCCAGCTCTCCCCTAATCCTGGTCCAACTGCTACCACCAAATCTCCTGACTTCTGTTCATTTATGTCTCAGAGAAATATGGCTTCTCTTGGGAAGCCTCCCATGATCTCATTGATGTAAGGGCCCCTGCCCGGTACCCCTCACTTTCCTTATCCTGCTACTGTAGCCCATACCTGCTTTAGGTTGTTAATTTAATCATCTTTCTTCCTTTCTAGACAGAATCTATTCCCATCACGGCATCCCTTACATCGAGGACATGTTTGCTCTTGGAAAATATTTGCTGAATTAATGAATCGACATTTTTATAGATGAGGAATCGGGCCCGCTGAAGTTAAACACCAGGCCTGATCTCACAGATGTTCAGGGATGATGTGGTAATTCTTCTTCCCCTAAATATCCAGTGCTTGTTCCAGTCTGCCATGCTGGTTTCTGGGTTCACACACAGCACTGTGGTCAGGTGGAAGAAGATACTCTGAAGAAAATCCATCAACTGGGTTTTCAATATTCTGGGTCTGGAGAACCCTTTCAACCTGAGCTCAGAGTATGCTTACATGCCAGATACTGGCATTCCAGAGTATCGGCACATTCCACAGGCCTCTTTTGGTGACTGAATTCACCAAAATTTCTGAATCTCCAGTTGGGTTATAAGTGCCAAGAAACAGAGATAATAGCAGTGAGAGCTTTCTTCCAAAGACTGTTGACCTCAAATGGAGATTGCACTTGGTCTCACAGGGCACCATATTGAATGTTATGACCTACCACCATGTTCTGGAAAAGCCTTGATTAGAACTCTTTCTGATACATTTTGATGTCCATGAATTGATACCGTTTTGTTTGCTAATTTCTGGTTGCCAAGCCAACTGAGTAGAGCATGCGTATGTGTAGCACCAACTACATACAGCACTGTTATTACTGCAAAAGTCTCTCCTTGTTTCTTCCTAGAGGGAGGAACTCCCTTGGCTCACTTTTTTCTTCCTTCCCTGAACCTGGGATGTTGCCACAACTGAGGCTGAGAGAGCCAAGAACTGCTGTCTCCACTGTCTTCAGTACAGTAGCAGACAGTCCAATTCAGTGCAACTATGTTGAGGAGCCCCTGGGAGCCTGAATACCTTCCCTCCTTTCTAAGGCTTTCCCAGATAATTCTGCCTAGGAAGAAGCAGACATCTGCCAACCACTTGGGTAAGGAACCCCAAACTGAACTAAAGATGTAGACTGTGAACTCAAGGGTTATTTTTTGTTGGGGAAATGGAGGAGCATGAAAGAAGAACGACGAAGCATGACTAGTTAAGTGTCCAAAGGGAAATGCAAACAAATGGTTATGGAAGCAGCCAGGAGGAAGCTGCTAATTCCAGTGAGAAATCTGGCAAGGCTTCACAGACCGTGAGATCAGGGTGGGTACCCACAGGGAGAACGGGATGATCAGATGGGAGGAGGATGGGAATAAAGGGATTCCAGCTGATCTTGAAAGAATCTAATCAAGGTGACCCAGATATGGAGTCTTCCAACCTCCCACTGTGATGGCAACACATAAACAAATCACTCCAGCCCGCCCTCCCTTAGAGCGCCTCCAGACCAGCCACTCCAAGCTCCAGTGGGTGCCATTCCAGCAAGCTGCCTGGCCCAGGGTGATGGCTCCTCAGGGTTGCGGCCTGTGGAGGAGGGCTGCCTACTGGGAAACTTTCTCTTTATCCCACACCTCCTCACCTATTACGGCTTGAATGCCCAAGGGCAGCGCTGGGGGTGGCCAAGGATGAGCTGGGCCCAAGGACCTTCGAGGGATGTTTTCCAAGTTCA